TAAGCTAACCTTACCTGACACGGAGGTCTTAGCATTATTCTGTTTGTCTTTTAGCAGTAAGATTTTAATTAATGAAATTAAATAAAAATATGCATAGATATTTTTACTTTTAAAACAACAAAAATTAAAAACTTAAGGAAAATTTGATTAAAAAGTAAAGAAAAAATTAAGATAAAAGAAAAATTAAACAAAATAAAAATTAAATGAAATAAAACAATATTTCCCTTTTTAAAACAAAAAAACGAAAAGCTAATAAAATAAAAGAAAAGAAAAAATGAATAAATAACATAAAAATTAAATTAAGTAAGAAATCTTTTTATTTTTGCAACAATAAAATCGAAAAAAATTAAAAAAAACATGAATTTTAAAAAAGGAAAAAATGCATAAACTAAGTGTCTAAATTGAAATTAAATTGAAAAATATATATTTTTCTTTTCAAAATAAAAAAATTCAAAAACTAAAAAACAAGTAAATTTTAAGCAAAAAACAAAACCAACTTCATTTCTCATATAAAACTTTTAGAGTACCGTTAATTTCTTCATGATCCAATGATCGGATCTAAACCAAATTAGTATGAGACCATATCTGAGGTACTACTTTTCCTTTTGAAAAAAGTATTGTAGAAATCGGTTCATGTGGTCCAAAGTTATGTGGTAACATACACAAAAAAAAAATATTTCGACGAATTGATAACCTCCTCATTTTTAACCGACTCCAAAAAAGGAAAAGATTATTATTATATTTTTTTGTTTGTTTTATGTATGCTACCGCATAACTTTTGACAACGTTAACCGAATTCGATAATTTTTTTCATCTTAAGGGTGGTCCCATACTAGTTTTGTTTAGATCGGATAATTTGATCATGAAGAGATTAACGGTACATCTAAATTTGTATATGAGAATTAAAATCGATTGTTTTGTTTTTTCTTAAAAATTACTTGTTTTTAAGTCGGTTAAAAATGTATAAAAATGAAAAAATTCCGCTGAACGAGGATTCGAAAGAGCTTTTCGACATGAAACTTGACAAGGAGCTTTTGTATGACTTTTATGCCAGAATAAGCAAACTATCTTGCCTATTCGCTTTCAATTGTCTTATAAAATACTTGCAACTACCTTAGCCAGAATTGCCCTGTTAATTTGAACTTTATAGACTGCATCCATTCAAATTTAAATTTTTGAAGGTAACGACCAGTCAGAATTTCCAATTATTTTACCTACTCGAAGGCGATAAAAGCTGGTATGAGCTATCGAAAGCTAAGTAGAACAGTAGAAGATATTTGAATAACAAAAAAAAAAAAACGAACTATTTCATGTAGACGTCAGCTTGTCTCAATTTCGCTTTGCATTGCTTTATCAAATCCCGCGTCCTTTGCTTTTGCAATTGAGTTTTCGATATTCACTCCATGTTTTCGTGATACCTTCATCGCTGTAGCTATGTACATAACAACAATATTGTTGAATAATGCAAAGGTCACAAAATGGAGCAGCATAAAGGCAAAAAAAAACAACACAAATCGAAAAGATGAATTGAGCAAACCAGTCATGGCGCATCGACAAGAGCAACAGCTGGCATAGCAACACAAGAATTGTACCTACTATGTAGCAAAAAAAAAAAAACATCAGTCATTTTTAATGCCAGCGGTACGACAAAATGAAGCAAAACACGTCGGCTAATAGACATCCAAATACTACACAGCAGCCAACAACTGTAGTGCTGGCAAAGAAATAAAGACGAAAGCGACCCTCTATAGACCGAAAACAATGCACAATAGACAAAAAAAGTGGCCAAAGGCTATATAACAATGGCAATGGCAACAAACCATAGAGATGGATACGCATTCGATGTAGCAGAAATGTATGGAATACAAAAAAAAAGTGCGCCGAAAAACAACACAATTGACGGCAATCAACGCGGATGTTGGCTGTATGCGCTGGGCAAACCGAAAGCCTCTACGCGCTCTATCTGAGCGTCAACCTGGCGCCAATGAACACAGCTTAGCTCATGAGTTTTCGAAGGATTTTAAACACTCGTGCGCGCACACTCCCACCCACAAAAGCACACACATACATACTTATGCATATTTACGCACGCAGAAAAAAAAAGTCAGCCACTTTTCAAACAGCCTGCTTTCTGCTTTCCGGCGACACGCAACATTCATTCCCGATTCAGCGAAGCATCCGCTCACGCACACACACGCACACAACCGCCCCCCGCACGCACTCACGCCCTCACGCACTCACGCACGTTCGCATCAGGCGTAGTGCCATTAGAAATTTTTTGGATGCGTATGTGTGGGTTGTTTTTGTACCGCCCTCCCTGTGCCCCCCCCGCCTTAAATCATAGACCATATAGATATGTATGTATGTATACATATGTATGTTTGTACATAAATGTCACCCCGCCCACATCACTTACCTCTAGCACAACACCCTCCAGCGTGGGCTGTGATATATTCTTCATGTTGCTGTGATTCAATTTGGGCGCACTGTCGGCACGATTTCGTCCTAATGATTGATTTGATGTTTTGTTATCGGCTTTGCTCAACACAGAATTATTTGAGGATTTGTGATTTATATCCAGCGTTGAACGTAAAATGTCAACTTTCGAAGCGCTGCCAATGTGACTGCCGTGATGGCGTGGTACGCGTGTCGACTCAACATTATAGCTGCTGCGGCGATGTGACAAATGGTCATGTATATCCGCCTGCGCGCAGGTGCAGTCAAGAATTGCAGAGAGATGAGGACACATTAAGTCAAAGGCAAGCAAGGTGTTGCGTAAATGGTGTGAAAACACGCAAAGGAAGAAAAAAACAAACGAAAAAAATTTAATGAAATAAATTAGAAGGAAATTTGCGCAATTAAGAGGAGTGGCAGAAAAATTCGTGAAAAATGAAAATGAAAGTGGAAATGGAAATGGAAATGATTGCGTGCCACCTACAATAATTGAGTTATACGAAAGCGGATGGGGCGAGTAAACCATTGAATTGAATTAGGCAATTTTATTATTGAAACTTTTTCACTTTTTGACTTTTGAGTTCCACTTAAATTAAAAGCATTAATGAACAATTCCGGTTTCAAGTAAGATACAATGGCAAGCATAAAATTAAAAGAAATGTAAAAAAATCAGGTGACTTGACGTGGTCTGCGCTTCAAATACACTCAAATTAAATTACCATTCTCGACCGAAGTGGCATGCAAGTTACAAAAGAACGCATCATTTACTTACCCTCGATCCACGCGGCAATGATGTCAAGCTGCCAATTTGATTGTACTTAATCATCAGGCTGAGACGCTCCAATGACATTGATGTGCCTTGCTCTTTTGTTGCCGGTTCGGTTAGCTTCTCGGTTTCACCATTCTCGACCGCCTCTGCTTCCTCTTCGCAATCATCGAGATTGTGATCGAATTTACGCAACCAAGCCAAATGTAGTAGACCATAGGCAATGCCACCCACAACGGCTAGCAGACCCATATAACGGAAGGCATCACGTGTACCGAATTGACCGATGAGTAGACCACCGGTAAAGGAGCCGCTACCGCGACCTATTGGGAATGGAAAAAAAAACTTATTGAAGCGCGTTTTTCAATTTGGTGTCTTTCAATTTTTGGTCTTATACACAGACCACAGAATTTTCCGGAATGGGGGTAGCTACTTTCTAATTAGTACGGAGATCCCGATTTCCTCTAAGAAGAAGACGTAGGCTAGACCAAGAGTTTGAAGGAGACACTACAACTTCTGCTGCATATCTATCTTCCATGGAAGCAAAGGAACTACACTGTCCAATTAATATTTTCGCTCCTTACAAATCGCCGGGTCTGGACGGAATCTTTTCCACAGTGTTACAGAAGGCCAAATCACTGGCGATTGCATGGTTGGATAGCGTAGTTTGGCAACATGTTAAAGTAGTGTTCATTTCCAAGGTAGACAAAATAATAAATTCTCTTCCTAACGACTTTGGGCCACACAGTCTATCGTCATTTATTCTAAAAGCTTTCGTTCAAAGCTGGGGAAGTTTTTGCGCAGGATACTTAACTGAAAGGGGTGCACCACATAATCGCCCAACTATTGCATACGGTTCCTTGAGTTGGTGGAAAGCCGTTGAGACGAACTATGTTAGTAAGTAATTATCACCTCTAGCGTAATAAGACATTCTAGAGAATGCGTTATGACTATTATGTTAGATTTGACATGTCGTATTTTACTGAGGCCCAGGTAAAAATATCCTTCGACTGGTCATTCATGGTTGGACAAGGAAAGCTAGGGCTGACAGGAATATAATGGAAGCACTAATAGCAGAAGGACCCGTGTGAAGTGGCAATCATTGGCCAGATTTTTAACTGAGTAGTTCTAGTTATATGGCCTCTGCAGTTGTTATCGTAGCCCAGGCGGTCCTCCCCCCTACTAAAGTTCTCATAAATGAAAGAGATTTAGCAAATACCCGGCATGCTTAAAAGTATGTTTGTGCTGTTTGCTACCCGTATTGTAATATTTCATTTATTTAATTTAATAAAATCTTTCAAACAGGTGGCAGCCCTCTTCAAATATATTTTCGGCAGTAAAATTTTCCAAACCTCTTCAGTTTGATACCGATATTGCAACACTCACTTTATGTTATCAATTAAATTAAATTAAAATTTGCCAACAGGTGGCAACCTTCAACAAACATATTTTCAGCTGTCAGCCTTCTTAACCGCTTTATTTTTACAGCCACATTGCAATATTTAATTAATCTTATCAATTTACTTAACTACAATTTTCAAACAGGTGGCAACTCTCTATTATTTTTTCTTTCTATATTTTAAGTTAGACCTCTAGAAATACATCGGTGAAAACTGCATTCAACTTCATGCATTCGTTTTCGACTGATGCGCGTACAAACATACAGACAGACACACAAACGGACAGACGGAAAAAATTCTAAAAATTTTTTTTATTTGGCTGCTGTTGTTCTAATAAATACCGCCATATTAATTTTTCTTTAATATTTATATTGTACCGATAAGCTGATGGGTCTGCATAAAAGGGTTGCCTTGGAAGGAAGAACCAATGCTTAGTGGTGACTTCAAAGAGCATTGGTCACTGGGTTTTAACGCAGTTGAACTACATAGTCTTGGAAGAAACACGCCCTCACCTTAGGCTGATTATTGAAATATCCAATGGTCATTGTCTTATGGGAATAGTTTTAGGAAGAACGGACGGTCCAGCAAACCAACTCCGTTAAGTTTGGCACCGAGACGAAGAGAAAATCGAAAGCTTCGAACGCTTTCTCTGCCACTAATCCGGCTAAGCAACATATAACATTAACCTTGGCAACGATATCTTTAGTATCTTGAGACTACGGCTCAATAACGATTTCACTTTATAATTTAAGTTGTATTGGAGAGAAAAAATCTAAAAATTTGTTCATCCGATTCGAAATTCATCACAGATTCCGCGATTCTGGCACTGGCTTCATCCGCGTGTCCGTTCACACTTCGTTTCCAAAAAACACTTACCCAAACTGAAATGTGCCATGCCCAGCACGCCAATCAATGTAGCCAACAGACTCTTCGGGGCCAAAATGGAGCAATAGGTAGCAGCAGCTACCCACATCAAATGGCAGGAGAGAGCTTCCATTGCCTCGAAGGGAAAACACCACCAAGCATTTCTAAAAATAGAATATAGAATAAATAAAAAATTAGTAAATAGAATGCAAAAGCAACGCCAATCAGAAGGACGCCAATCAAAATAAGATGTACAAGCTTACTCAATGAATGAATAACCC